AACCACATCACTACAACAACATGTAGGTGCGAATACAAAATACAAAAGTTTTGTTATGATAACCCAAACGCCAGAGGAATCCTCCTTAGTCAACGTGGTCACCTCCGAAACGACCAAAGTCACACACGACGTCACTGTACGTCACACGAACGATGAGATAAATGATATAAATGACATAAGTGATATAAATGATATAAATGACATAAGTGATATAAGTGACCAAGTGCAGGTTGTTAACATGAAAATCGCCAGTGATGGTAACAAAGTGCGTGTTTTATCCGGTGACCAGTTGAGTCAAGTTATTTGTTTAGAAGAAGGTTTGGCAGATGATGATTCGTGGGTTGAGGACGTCGGAAGTCACGACGATGATGAAGATTTTGCAACAACCACAGCCACAGAGTCGGATTCTGGGGGCGAGGACGCCCTTATGGCTATGTTGTTATCCCAACAGTCAGACCGTGAAGAAGAACTCCGAGGCTACCATAGGCAAGCCATAGACTTCACCTTATTCACAATTGCTGAGGAAAGTTGTGAGGAAAGTGAGACTGAGTGCAAACCCCAACCTAAACAACGTCCTTTATCGTCATCAGAACTTGAAAAATATTTTTTCTTCGGCTTGTGTGGTGATGGTGCTAACCAACCTAGTAGTAACCAAGTACCTAGTAGTAATTTGGATGAAGCCTCGGAGACTTCTAGTGTATACAGTGAAGGTGTAGACTCGATCACCAACGACGATGATGTAAATTCTGGCAACACCGAAGAATCCCAAGAACGCCTAGCGTCTTCACGCCTGGAAAAATATTTCCTCACCGGTTTTATGGGTTTTACCGAACGTCGGGAGTCTGATGGTAGTGGCAGTGTTGGTTCTGACAGTGAAGGTAGACCTAGTCCTGAACAAAGACGTAAACGTCTAGTACGTGCACGTGGTACAGGCAGATCTTCACATTCATCATCCCTAGACAATCTACTAGTCGACCAGAACACTGAAGTTGAACCTCAATTATTAGCAAATTCTGTAAACGATTTGGTGCAACAACAAAGTTCCCAAGATTCCTCCGAAACCGATGAAGGCGGTAACGTTGACGAAGGTGCTATCAGTTTTGATAAAGATGGTACATTTGATACAGTCAAACGCAAACAAAAACATGCTAAAAAAAACAAGCATGAAAATAATGAAGATATTGATCACAAAGATGATGATGACATTCAACCGCAGCCAGAATTCCTAAATATGACACCAACGGATTTGGCTATTAGCAGAAACAAGCAACATAGTCGTGACAGTGGTTTTATAGGCAGCTGTGATGATTTGTTGAAGGAACAAAAAGGTAATCAATAAATTTTATTTCAAGTAAAACTCGAAAGATATATTTGTTAAAGTTTAGATGCAATTAGTACTGTAGATACATGTTTTCAACTTTAGATGCAATTATAAACTCACTGAAATTTTGTAGAGTATTTTGTTGTATGAAGACATTGTAGATAATTTAATTCGCAACAAATTTGTCGAATATTTCATTTAAATTGATCCACAATTTTAGAAGTTATCAGGAAAATAAATGTCACTAGACAAATTTTATTCCTAGACTGCTAAGACCCAGTAGATTCATTTCTTCAACTTTAGATGCAATTATAAACTCAGTAAAATTTTGTAGAGCATTTTGTTGTATGAAGACATTGTAGATAGTTTTATTAGCTATAAATTTGCCAAATATTTCATTTAGATTGGTCCACAATTTTAGAAGTCATCAGGAAAATAAATGTCACTAGACAAATTTTATTCCAAGACTACTAAAAACAAGTACTCCATGCACTTGCAATTGGTGTACCTTTCACAGTATTTTTGAAATAACTTCTAAATTAGTTGTCTAACACAAATACTGTCTTCAGATAATTTATATCTAATTAAATTATCTAAAAAAATTTCATACATCAAAACTTCATAAAATCATTCAATACATTTATAAACTACACGTAAACTTGCGCAAAATTTCTCATATCTCGTTAGTCGCGATTTCATTCCTCGTTGTTTCATTTTTAGTGATTTTAACGATTCCATTTTGACGTGGATTGTAATTATAAAAATTGTTAGTTTTAAGTGACCTGATTTCTGCTCCTTTTGCTTCCGATTTGATGTATTCTTTTCTTCGACTGATTGTATTGATTGATTTGATTTTGGTTTTATAGTTATCGATTGATGATTTTTTGTTTTCTTTGATTGGCGCGAACGGAAATTTTGTAGAGTATTTTGTTGTATAGAGATGTTGTAGATAATTTAGTTAACAACAAATTTGCCGAATATTTTATTAAAATTAGTCCACAATTTTAGAAGTTATCGAGAAAATCAATGTCACTAGACAAATTTTAATCCAAGACTACTAAGAACAAGTAGATTGATTTCTTCAAGTTTAGATGCAATTATAAACTCCGTGAAATTTTGTAGAGTATTTTGTTGTATAGAGATGTTGTAGATAATTTAATTAGCAATAAATTAGCCGAATATTTCATTAAAATTGGTACACAATTTTAGAAGTTATCGAAAAAATAAATGTCAGTATACAAATTTTATTGGTCAGTGAACAAATTGTAGTGTACTTTCTGCAGTATTTTTGAAATAGATTTTAAATTAGTTTTTAAATTCAAATACTATCTTCAGATAATTTATAGCTAATAAAATTATCTACATTTTCTTCATACAACAAAATATTTCAAAATAACTTCATTCAACAGTAAACTGCAGCTAAACTTGAAACATTCTGTAATAGTCACCACATGCACTTGCAATTTGTGCTCTTTCTACAGTATTTTTGAAATAACTTCTAAATTTGTTGTTAGAATACACAAATACTGTGTTCAGATAATTTATAGCTAATAAAATTATCTACAAATTCTTCATACTATAAATTATTATGAACTAAAAAAAATAATGGTAAACTGCAGCTAAACTTGAAACTTTTTGCATTTGTTTTACAATTAGTGCGGGCACTTTTTAAAGGATTTTAATAAATAACTTCTAAAATTAGAGAAAATAACTTCTAAATTAGTTGTCTAACACAAATGCTGTCTTCAGATAATTTATAGCTAATAAAATTATCCACAAAATCTTCATATATCAAAACTTCCAAAAATCATTCATTGCATTTATAAATTACATCTAAACTTGCGCAAAAATTTTCAAAACCAATTTTTTCCCTCAATCTGTTATCTCTACTTAAACATTTTTGTTACCAATTTTAATTAGTTTTTGCATAACTTTTTTATCTAATTTCATTTTTTACAAGATTATAATCTTAAGCTAATCTCTATTATATAGTTTTTTTGCGAATTGAAAGCAACTGTCAGACAATTCATGTTTTCGAATATTTGTTGTATATAACTCACAAAACTTTTTCTTTTCATACTCTGAAGCCCATCATGGTGATGATGTCCAAAACAAGGTGGAGCAACTTGCTGAAATCGCTGAAGAAAACAGTTCCAGGTTGGACGAAACCGAAGGCAAGTTGTTATCACGCAAAGACAGCTTCAACAATTGGAGTTCTGACGAAGAAACCAACATGATGATGTGTAAAATGCGCCAGTTTTTCAAAACCATGGTCGCAGGCGGCCGGAATAACCAAAACCCAACCACAAACAAAACCGCAAACAAATCCCCACAACTTTTGTATTTTGAAAGCGAGTTAACAAGACTCATGAAAACTGTGCCGGGTATACGGGAGGACCAGGTTAGGGAAATTGTTGAGTATTTGAGTAGTGAAGATACCTGGAGTGACAGTTGTGACTCGTCTGATTACACAAGTTCAGATTTGGAAGGTGCCATGGATCGAACAGCCTTACGCCGACAAATTTCTGATAGTTGCAGGAGGATAATATCGAAGTTTGATGCTAATAATGTTGAGGATGAGGAAGGTGATGCTGGTGATGGCGGTGTTGTGGAAGAAGCTCGGGAGACTGCTTTTATATACCAAAAACTTGTAGCATCATTTGGTAACGAACCTGCTAAATTACCTGCACAACAACCCTTAGACGACTCGTCGCCTTTGATTGCAAAAGTAATGCACCACATTGGTAGCAGATTGGTGGCGTTAATGCAAGAGGTGTCCTCCAGTGGTGGTGAATCTCATGCAAGTGCTTCACCAAGAGTCTCTAAACACCATTACCACAGACGATCACAACATAAAGTGTCCTCGACAACCGAAGACGAGGAAGAGGACACTTTATCTTTGCCCAGGAGCAAATCGCATGATCCTTTACTCGCTGACCAGGCAGTTCCTACAGATGAACGCGAAGCCAGTGACTATGAAAGGTTTTCTTGGCGTGGAAGTTTCGAATCGGCTTTGATGACCGGTGCTGATTCCCGCACAAAGTTATCACTTTTGAGTGAAAATTCACAATCGGCAGTAGCCTTGGCTGCTAAAAGGCGCTCTGCAGGCGACTTGCTATTCGGAAGAAAATCCCCGGGAAGTCGTGAACGCCTAGACAGAGTCCGCAGTTGCGGCAGTATCGGCAGGGTTAGTACAGACTGGTCCGAGGATAATGATGATATACAACCCAAAAACCGTAGACTGAGCGTACCAGATTCCACATGTGGCTCCTCTTCCGACAACGACGACCAACAAACCTCTAATAAACGATCCACGACCCTTCCCAGGAGTTTAGTGCCTCAACAAAGTGCCAGTAGTAATTCTTTACCGCGTCAGCATCAGTTTTTGCAAAATAATAGTGGAAGTGGTGTTAAAAGTGCGAGGTATAGGGCTCCTGGGTTCGCAGGATGCAGAGCCTCTGGTGGTGGTGGTAGTGGACCTAAACGAGCTGGTTCTGCACCAGGGTTGCAGCAGCAGACTGCGCCACCTAGGAGAGAACCTAGGAGGCGAGTGGCGCATTCGCAGAACAACTCGCACCATCAACAATTGATAAGCCAAGGTAAGGAAATTTATATATACACACACATATATATATATATATATATATATATATACTAGCTGGCCCGGCAAACGTTGTTTCGCTAAGTAAGGTATATTCTAAACAATTTCTAGAGAATCAAAAATATAGAAAACATAGTATAATCCATCCAAGTCTTTTTTGGTCTTTCGACTTATTGATTACGTTTCAAGTTTAACAGATGCTTTTTAGATTCTAAATTTTGTGTATAATTTTAAATAATACTACTGAGCTTATAAACAAATTTCAAATTTCTGCCAGGAGAGAGGAGAGATAGAAAATGAATTAAGTATTTCTACTTTGACCTGCTTTTTGAAAAGTTTCAAGTAACATTCGATGAATTAAAGTAAATTTAATTCAAGGCATATATGTAGAGCAGGACGATGCACAAAGGTACAATTTAACTTTGAGCAAATATTAATTATATTATGAAAATCAAACCAATTATATCACAACAAATAACACGTTTCAAACGAACAATTATCTGACTACGTTCAGTAAAACTGCCAGCTACTTCATCATTGTAGAAATGTTCTTTTATGATGTCTTTCAAAAATTTATTATCTAGACCTTTTTACCCTATAGGTTTAATGTCTTATTTTAATTTTAAAGGTATTTTACAAAATAATTACATTTTTAACTAATGCTAAACAAACTACCAACGGAAGAAAATACTTTTATTATGGATTTTCAAAAATTACCGTTTATCTTCCGATAGCAAAGTAATAAGAATCAAGGTTATATCTGGTTATACATCTTTTTCCCTCTACTTTCAAATATTGCTGTTAAACAATGCTTAACTTTACTGGTTTTTGACACATCGGTGGTGGACCTTTTTGACCCCGGACCTTCATATATTACTATATATTCTTTGATAAATTCTGGGAAATTATAACTGGGAAAATGTTATTCGTCAAAATGTCCCTTTGATCGATACCAAATTTAGGTTCTGAATTCAAATAGCATAAATAAAAAATAATATAACCTAGAAAATGTTTTATAAATACCAATGAGTATATAATTATACAAAATGAGATCTTTCAGAGCTTCGTGTTTGAGAAAAATATGCCAAAAAAGTGCATTTTCATATTAACATTTCAAAAAAGTTGATATTGTTGAGTTTGTAATAACACTAGCAGCCCTATTACATGATTTTACTGAATTGCAAATTTATAGCTGTTTTTGTAAGAAACATGTGTGATTTTATATTTTTATAATTTAGTACACATATTAAGAAATAACATACTAAAATTTTGTAACTCTAGTATAACGTTTTATATTTTTAAATATTTATCAAGATACTAATCAAATCGTGGACTTGCAACTCGTATAAGAGTGCATTTGTTAACAAAATTGCACATTTATAGCTTTTTTTGTTAGAAACATATTTGATTTTATATTTTTATAATTGAGTACATATATTAGGTAATAACATACTAAAATTTCATAGCTCTAGTATAATATTGTATATTTTTAAAACATTTTTCAAAAGTACTTCTCATATCATATCCAACCGTCGATTCGCAACTAATAAAAATAGAGTATGCAAGTGTGCATTGCAATTTTTTAGTTTCTTCTGTTAGAAACATATTTGATTTTATATTTTTATAATTCAGTACACATATTAAGAAATAACATACTATAATTTCATAACTGTATTACAGCGCTTTATATTTTTAAAATATATTTTAAGCCGTCAATTTGTTACGCCATAACGTTTACTAACGTTCTTGTATATAAATAAAACTACAAACACAACTACTTACTACAATTTAATCATAATTAAATAATATTCACGTAAAACATCCTATTAAACGCAATTGAACATCATCTGTCAAAAATGTTTGACACTTGACGTATTAGCCACCGTCCATCGTTTTATTCAAATTACGCTTTTACAAAAATGTTCAAATTAAAAATGTAAAGTTTCTACTCGATTTAGAAATAATATCTCACCTTTCCGACAACCTACTGATTAGCACGAATTTTTCAAGACTAAGACTGGCCAAATCGGTTTAGTCGTATTCGAGGTTTAGCGGATCATTTTATCGAGAGCTTCATTTTTATATATAAGATATTTGTTTAGTAAAATGTAAAGGAATTAAATCGTAAAAGATATTTCTTCGACTACAATAATGGCTTTGTTAGCCGTCACGAAACTTAGTAAATTATCGTTGTAAAATTTAATCACACACGATTGTGATGGCCATTGAATGAATGGAACGGGTTTTTTATTACACACACACACACACACACACACACATATATATATATATATATATATATATATATATATATACATATCCGTCCGTTCACATTTAAAACCTAATTCTATTTTTACATCATGATGTAAGCAATAACTAATGATTTATTTGCACAATGAGGATTTCATTTTACTTTTATTTATTAACTTTCCGTCGAAAATGAAAATTTTTGCATTTCTCGACGTTTTGAAGGTTTCTGAACATTTTATGTGCTTTGTATGTCCGCATTTTTTCGTTAACGTTTTCGGGCGCACGGATCAACCGATTTGAATGGTTTAAAAAACATTCGATTCCTATTGATAGGGAGATGTGCTGATTAGTTTTTGGCAAAGGCAGGTCCAGGCGTTACGGAGATAAAGAGTAAAGAGTGCAGAAAATAGGAATCGAGTTTTTGAGAGAATGGAGTATCCGATTTGAATGATCTAAAAAACATTCAATTTGAAATGACGGGAAGAAGTGGTGATTAGTTTTTAGCTAAGGCAGGTGTAGTGGTTTCGGAGGTACAGAGCTAAATGTGCAAAAAATGGCAGTTTTTGAGAGAACTAAGCGTCCGATTTGATTCAAAGAACGTTCTGCTTGTCTTAACCATATAATTATTTTTGGAAAAAAAAATTGGTTGAACCTTTTTTTCATTTTTTTTTTTTATTTTTGTGTATCGAAAATAATTCAGATTTTATTTTTAATTCTGACTATAGTTCTAATATACTTTAAACAAATAATTTCAACTTTGTAATTCAGTTTATATAATTCTTATAAATATTAGACAATGTTACAATATTTATAATAATCTATTTGAAAACATTCAATATTTCTCGAACATTTCGTTACGGTACGGGAAGTTCCAGCAATTTGCCTTAAGGCACCACTATTTTGGGGTTGCAATTGATGAAAATGGCAATTAGTTAAATTCGAATAAATACATGAAAAATCGATCATCTATCTATTTATCTATTTCCGTATGTCTATTACCCATTCTATTAATTTTTTTTTGAAATGCTACTTGTTCAAACCATATTTCGAATAAGTCCATCAGTTTTTGAATAATTTAACTTCTTCAACGGTTGTGTCAGAAAGAATTCATTCTTGATGTCGTCATATTAATATTTAAAATTTACATATTATATCTGTGTTATATAACTTCAAGTTTGAGAATTTAGAATGGCGAAAAGATTTAATTTATTTATGCCTTTGGCATTTTGAGAGAAATTTATAGACATGAGAATTGACTCATTTTAAATTTACAAGAAATAATATTTAGTACAGAGGAAATAAATATTAGACTGAAAATGAGATTATAATCAGTATGCAAAAATCCAATTTAGAACCAATTTTAACTACTAAAACTTGTTTTAAAAAATCCTAATTGTTACTAAAAAATATAAACAATATATTTGAGTTTTTTTATAATAAATTTGTTCAAATTTGTTTAACAAAAAATAAAAAAATATAAGAATACTCATTACACACTTGCATTATCCTATATTCTGCACCTGTCTTCAAAAATTTATTTTTTAACCAATTTTACCTACTAAAACTTGTTTTAAAAATGCCAATTGTTACTAAAAAGTATGAACAATATATTTGAGTCCTTTAGTAATAAATTTGTTTAAATTTGTTTACCAAAACTTTAAAAAAATGTAAGTAAACTCATGACCCAGTTAATGAACTTACATTAAAATTTCTAATGAAATTGGACAACATACTCGTTCAAGGTTGTAATGTACAAATACAAATAAATCTATACATTTATATATATATATATATATATATATATATATATATATTATATATCATTTATATATACGTGTGATATCCGTAATTTCTAAATTGAAACGTGTAATTTCTTTAAATTTCTTCAAATGAATTATTTATATAAATGAGCATGCCATGGCCTAGAAAATTGTTTAGTGTTTTGTATTTACATTTTTTTGGTTCAATGACTTTGTAAATTCACAGATAATAACTTCATTATAATTGTTAAAGATAATTCTTATGCATACTCAAATTACTTTAAAAGAAATATTAAAAATTTATACATTTTTATTAGTAGTCATCTGAATAATACATTTTAAGAATCAGATGCAATTAGAAATGTAATTAAATTTTGTACGTTATTTTGTTGTATGGAGATGATTTAGATAATTTTATCAGCTATAAATTTGCCGAATATTTTATTTAGATTGGTCTAGTATTTTAGAAGTTATCAGGAAAATAAATGTCACTAGACAAATTATATTCCAAGACTACTAAGAACAAGTAGATTCATTTCTTCAAGTTTAGATGCAATTATAAATTCACTGAAATTTTGTAGAGTATTTTGTTATATGAAGATGTTGTAAATAATTTAATTAGCTACAAATTTGCCAAATATTTCATTTAAATTGGTCCACAATTTTAGAAGTTATCGAGAAAATAAATGTCAGTATACAAATTTTATTAGTCAGTGAACAAATTATAGTATACTTTCTGCAGTATTTTTGAAATACGTGGTCTGTTCAAAAAGTACCCGGAATTTTCGTTTTTTCAAAAAAATATTTATTTATTCGTCTACATTAATGTGGTCCCCTTCAAAGTAGTCCCCCCCAGATATAATACACTTATGCCAGCGTTTTTTCCAATTTTCGAAGCACCCTTGATATTCACTTTTTGATATGTCCTTGAGCACTCTCAGCTATTTTCTTCAATCGAGGAAAACCGCCGTCCTTTCATGGGTCTCTT